TAACGTCGAATTAAAACTTGGCTCGTTCGTTCGTTTTCGGTTTCGAATTGTAAAAATAAAATAAATTACATTTTTACAAGCAAAGAAAGTCTCTTGTTTCTTCTGTAGTGGGAATGTGCTGAGACTGGAGCGTGGTGGAGTGACAGCTATTCGTCAGATCGTTAAATAGCTGTTAAGTATTTGTTGAGGATTCATTAAAGCATTTGGTCTGTGCGCGGTCCATTTTGAGTGTGTGGCTTTGGGCTGGTTTTTTTGGTTCGATCTGTCCGATTCTCTGTCCCTCCGTCCGTCAGTCAGTCCGCGTGTCTGGCTGGGTGGCTTTTGTCTTGATTTATGCTTGTGGTTCATTTGTATTGAAATTTGATATATTTCAGCATGTGCTCGATTTTGCGAAGCCGCCGCAAGAGCGTATATGTATTTTATATTCGAATTAATTGAAATGATTGTGATCTACAACACGACTCGTCGGGCACAAATACACCCATACACATACATATATAGTGTATATAATTTATGAATATCGCTTTGCTGGCCTGTATGTTAATGCTCGCAGTGTCTTTGTGTCTTCTCTTTGTGGCCAACGGCGTATAAATTATACGGCACACACAATAGTTATAACACCTCCTAAATGTTTTCCGTAACTGTTGGCGGAGTCACAAATTTTTAGCAGTTTTTGTGAAGAGAGAGTATATTGGTTTGGCAATGTCTATATTGCTGAATGTCTATTCCTCCGTCTATCCATCCGTCCGTAAGTCCATTCGTCCGTAAGCTCATTCGTTCATTAGTCCATTTATCTATCTATCTTTGGTGCAATCTCCATGTTGTCGATTGCTCATTTGTCTGTCTATCCATCCGTCCGTAAGTCTATCCATACATCCGTCCATAAGGCCATCTAACCACCCGTCCGTCCGTTGATCCATCAGATTGTTTGCTCTTTTCTTCCTGCCAGTCCGTCCGTCCGCTCATTCATCCGTTATTCTGTCCGTCTGTCCATCCGTCCGTACGTCTGTCCTTCTGTTGCTCCGTCCTCCCGTTATATAATAATTTAGTAACTGCAGACTTTTGACTTAAGACTTTGTAAAATTGATTTAACCATTCGGAATCATGAACGAGTATTTTTCAGCTGGTGATGCCCGATTGCAACATTCGATTTTTTTTGTCTTTGGGAGGTTCCTTTATTCCATTTTATGGCTGTATTAAAAGTCTATTTAGCTGCTGTGTGGGCGTCGTTTTGCATAGCTTTTAAGGAATGCAAGTTTAGTGTTTTTGGGAAAGTCGCGTTCGATCATTTGATGTTTTCCGCTAGAATGTTAGGCGAAGAGACAAAGTTTTTGTCTATCTATCACATCAAGATCGTATATCACGTCTCTGACAAGCAGGTGTGTTAAAACACCTCTACTTTTATTTAAGTATATCATAGTAAAAGAGCCAAAACTTATTTCAAACTTTAAAAGTAGACATAAAAATAAAAAATAAAAAAATCAATAAAATATTTAAATTTAGTCTAAAGAGCGAAATAGTTAATAATATGCTTAATGCAGGGAATACTTATAAAAATGGTTTTGATCCTTAATTGCATGAGTTTTTATAAAATAAATGAGATCAACTGTATTTATCCAGTATGTAATCAGAATTTATGTTGTTTTGTTATTTAAATTATGTTGGTTTATTTTTTATTTGTTTTTTTTTTTCTAGCATTGAACTGAAACAAAGAAATACGTAGTAGCAAAAGTCTATTAAAATTAAATGATAAATTTGATTTCTTTGTATTAAATTCATGTGCTTTATATGCAGTTTAAATGTTTCGTTTCTCTCTCTGTCTCTCTCTCTCTCTCTCTCTCTCTCTCTCTCTCCCTCTAAAAAGCTGTTGTGCATACATCCTGGGTTAATTATGTTTAATCAATTGAGTAGAGATTCATTCCCAAACTATAATATACTATTTAAGTGGCTAGAAAAGGCGTTTCGTTTAATTCATATAAAAAATTCTCTAAAATAAGTAAACAAAATATATATATATAAATATAAAATTCTTCATCAAAATGGCGAATCACCTAGTCATTAATCGCGCCGATAAAGGTATGAAAATCATGCAAAGGAATATAAAAACAAATCAACACATTTGTCAGGCTACACATTAAGAAACCCGAAATTAAAGTCACATGGAGATGCGTTTAGCCAGAAGAAACAAGAGAGAAGAGAGAGAGGAGGAGAGAAAAACCGAGAGAGAGAGAGAGAGAGAGAGAGAAAAGAATGGGAATGGGTGATCACCCGCTGACAGAAAATCACTTGGCAACGGCTGATCATTAACCGATAACACATGACATTAAAGGTTCAAACAAAGTGAAAGAGTTTAAACGCACACAAAATGTGATAAATGCCGACCACCCCATGGAACGACAACAACAAGAGAGACGGCAACGACAACAACAACAGCTACAACGACAACAGAAATGACAATGACAGTGACCACATCAAGACGAACAGGTGAGGCGAAAAACGAGCGGAAAATTAATAGTGTGAACGAAGATCGGCAAAAGAATACGAAGTCGAGAGCGTGTGTGACAGAGTGAGAGGAAGAGAGAGAGAGAGAGAGATGAAGTGAGAGAGGCAGAGGCACAAGCAGTAAGGCACACACACACACACACACACACACGCAGATGATATCAGCATCTCAGATAGGTATCAGCTTACATTGGAGCCCCGTTTGTGGACGCTCCGCAGCCTCTCCACCTCCCCCAACAACATGACGGCAGCGAGCAGCCGGAAATTTGTCAAAATGTCAACGGGTGAAACAGTTTGTGGCATGGAGTTTTTCGTTTTGGGAGTCCCAGCTCACACACATACTCCACACACGCCAGACTCCAGACTCTGGACTCCAATTTTCAGGGCAGGCTCAGGCTCGGGCTCAGGCTCTGAATCAAGCCACGTAGCTTTTGTAAAACAAACCATTAGCAGCTAATAAACATTAGTCATGCGACCAAAAAACGAGTAAGTGTGCTTAAGTGTTAGGTAAACGACTACTAGATACCCTGTAGATGCTACACATGGGCAGAGATGGGAGTATATTGTCTTGATATTTATTTGTTTTATTTATTTATAAATTAAATAAAAATACTATTCTATACAAAATTAAGTATTTTGCCTTAACGACATTTCTGTCTTAAATAGAACATTTTTTATAATTTTAATTTTACTTAGGTATTTCAGAAAAACCTTTTATATTCTTAATTGTCAAATTTTAGTTTTATTAGGTATTATATTGCTATCGTCCCTTTTTTTTTCTTGGTCCAGCTTCGTTTTCCTACCAGAGTCAACAACATAATTAATACTCCCAATTCCCCAAATATGGTATCTGTACAGGGTATTGAGAGTAAGGGGCTGGAGAATCTGGCCCGATGATTTAGTGAGTGTAATTAAAATTTAAAGTTTCTTTCGCTCGCATATGTAAATGATCTGTGCGGAATTCCACGAAATAAATGAACAAGTTTTCTTCTCTTCTTTAATTTTTGTTGTTGTTTTATTGTGTTTTATACTCTTTTAGTATTTGTATTTCCACTCTCTTGTAGTTTTCGTTTATAATTATAATTTATGCAGCTCGGAGCGTACCGCTTGTTGACAGCAGACCCCATCAATCAGTCTAGGATCGCTGTAGATCGGTCTATTGGCGGCACGGCAGGGTACGGCAGGGTACGACAGGGCATGGCACGGGTAATGCTCATCTGCCACCGTTGCGATGACGATATGCATCGCATTTTGTAAGTGAGCCCAGACAAATCGTGTACAAGATAAGCTTACATTAGATTCAAGTCCCAGGTAGCTGCGCTCTAATTGGCCATGCAATTGGATATCTCGCTGGCCAGACCGCCCGCTCCTTGTTGACTCAACGCCTTGTAGCTGTTAATTATACATATATCACTTCATTTACATATACATATATCGGTATAGGGGTGATTCCTTGAATTTCCCGCTTGGCCGTCTGTGTCACCATTTTGTTGCTCATTCTGCGTGCGTCCTTTAGATTTATTGGCCCTGCGCTCCATACAAATCAAGTTGGGCGTTTTGTTTTGCACATTTTTATGGGCGCTACTGATGCTATGCAAATCAGCTATAACTCGATATATATATATATATATATATGCATTTGTGTATACATGTTTGATATGTAAACTGCAGTCAGCCGAGTGGCTTGTAAAAGTTGTTTTAGTAGTTGCATGAATCACACGAGTTCAACAGTAGCGAAACAATGCAGATCAGGAAAGGATATGTTATATTTAGAATTATGTGCGAGGTCTGTTTAGGAGATTTCTGTTAAAAAAAAAAAAAAAAAAAAAAAAATTGTTTAATTAGTTTATATTTTATTTTTCTTACCAAGTAGTCTCCATAAGATATTTTGGAACTGGGCCTATATTTTTTTTAATTATCTCCGAAGCACTTTTTAACATCTGGCTCATATTTTCTTTGATCCTGTTATTATTTCCTCTTTTGCTGCTTTGTAACTTTCTTTTTAGGTCTCTGTCAAGAAAAGGGAGTCGACTCCAAGTCGTGGAAAATATAATTTACACCTTCTTTCAGCATAAGCTAAATTTATTGCATTATTCTCATACTGAAATATTAGTTCAAAATAAGTAATTTATAATTTGATAATAATCTAAAAATTATTTCAAGTTAAATGTGAAATTAAAAGTAGATATAATATAAAATATGAAAATTAATTTAAATTTAAAAAAATTAATATAATAATATAAAAATAAAATTAATAATTATTCTTATATAGTAAAAATGAAAAATAAAATAATATTTAAATATTTTGTTTTTCGACCTGTGAAATGAATATTAATTACTTCAAAATTAATTTTATTTATTTGAAATTGATAATATTTTAATAATCCTCTATGGTCACTAGTAAAGAGAAGTCTTAATAATTTTCTGTTTCTGTTTTTCTGCTCTAAGATACATTGCCGTTGCTGGCCAACTTACTTAGCCAACTTATGCACATCAAGATCTATCTGCACTCCTGCGCCTGCTCCAGCTCCTTTTGAGCTCATTACATAAAACTGGACAACAGATTATGTCACGCTGCTTCCTAGTTTGCCTGTGGGGCATTCTCACCCACACACACACACACACACACACAGGCAAGTTGGGAGCTGAGAGCTTGCAGCATGATAAGCTGAGCTACAGGCAAATGGCCAGGTGTATGCGCATAACCGTAAGATTCACACATGTCCAAGGCAGGACAGTCGACAATAAAAAAAAAATTAAAATAAGAAAAATAAAAACAGCAGCAGCCTTAGCCTCAGTCTCATTCTCAGACTCAGCTCCAGCAGCCGCAGCAGCAGCAACAAGAGAAATACATTTTGAAAATTTAACGATGCGCACATTTTATTACCGCAATTAATTACAAAAACAACAACGCGCCCAAAGAGATCTTCAATCTCAGAGAGCCATGGAGAGAGGCAGCTCAGTGGGAGAGAGACAGAGCAGCAGAGCCTCTGGGTTAAATGAGAGAATGAGCAGCTAAAGCGTTAGATCTACTGATAAACGTTATGATAGATGTGACTAGTAAAATGCTACTACCAAATAGTTCTGGGCCGCTGCCTCGGCTGTGGCTGTGGCTGTGGCTGTCGCTTTGGTAATTGGAGGCGCAACGGGCAGCTGCTGTTAGCCAGGGCTGCTTAATTGGCTCAACTGCATGGGAGAGCGTTTCACTCACAGAGCGCAGCCTCAAACTCGTTTCTTGACCAATTAAATGACACAGCCAGAGAGAGAGAGAGAGAGAGAGAGAGAGAGAGGGAGAGCGAGGGAGAGCGTGTGTGTGTGTGTGAGAGAGAGAGAGAGAGAAAGAGAGCGAGGGGGAGAGACGGATTTCAGTTGAGTGAGTGAGCTCGCGATCAGCTTCAATCACGACCTGGCTCAAAAGACGTTGTGGACCGTTGGCCGCTTTTGTAGCCGCACATTTCGTATTTTGACGCGTAGCGCGACAGACGGCTCGAACAACTGGTCTATGAACGTTAACTCAAACGCAATGGGCTTTAAGCATACGATGCTGCAGCGCAGCTACGAGCTGGCCGCCTCGCCGGGCCCCCAACTGGCAGCGGCGCCGGCAGCGCCGCAAGTGACGGACTTTAGCATAAGTCGCATACTGGGCAGCTCGGCCAGCAAGGATAATGCGGCTAAGAAATCAACAGCAGGAGGCGTAACAACAGGAGCCACAGCAGGAGCAACAGCAGGAGCAGCAGTAGCAACAGCAGCAACTGCTGCCAGCAATATATTGGATCTATCAAAGAGTCGCCAACAGGCTGCAGTTCAGGCCGCGCCGGTGCAGCTAAGTCCCGCCGCCTATGGCTATGCCATGCTGCCGCCGGATCTGTTGGCCATGGCCAGTGCGACCAAGTTCTATGCACAATTCTTTCCACATTTGCTGCCCGCCTATGCAGCGGCAGCAGCTGCCGCCGGGCTGACAACGCCACCCACCTCGCCATACCAGCAACATCAGCAGGCACAACCACAACAACATCAACAACAACAGCAACAACACTCGCAGCAGAAACGTTACTTTGCGCCGTATGTGATCAATGGACAGAGTCCGACGCGATCCAAGTCCTCCAGCGCCTGCACTCGCGCCGACTGTCTGGAATGCCTGGATTATTATAAGCAATTCGGCGCTGGCTATAAGCCAACGCCTCTCATATCGCCGGCGGCTTCATCGGTGAGCAGCTCCAGCAGCTGCCGGCTGCCATCGCGTGAGCTGCTGCTCAGCGCCAGCGCCAGCAGCAACATTTCCCTGACCAACATCTCTGTGACCAATCTGAACCTGAGCAACACGGCAACAGCGACTGCGATTTCACCTGTGGCCATGTTGCCCAACTTGAGCAACAACAACAGCAACTCCAACAACAACAACAACAGTAATAGCAACAACAGCACAAGCGCCGGCGAGGAGATCAGCTACAAGTGTCGCATATGCGACAAGGTCTTTGGATGCTCCGAAACGCTGCAGGTGAGTTGAGAGCAGAACAGACTATAAAAAATAAGCGTGGATGGGTGGGCTTGACTTACCCTGAAACTAGAACAGTTATAGATGAGGATATGCGAGTTGGCTTAGCGCACTTGTAGAGTGGGTGAGTGGGCGTGTTTTGTAGGAACTTAGATCAGTTATAAATGTTCATATACGAGGTTGCTTTGAAGAATTTTAATCATGCACTTGTATAGAACACATATAGAAACCAAATACATTTTATTTGATTTTAAATTTATATTTTATTTGTCCAAAAGGAAAAGTAATACCTACATCGCATGTACTAGTACGATAGCAAATTTCTATGGAATGGATGCAATAAATTATAGTATTTATTTTAAAATTACAAAAATTAATATTTGTTGTGCTTTTTTTTTTTTTAATTATAAAAATTGAAAACATTGTTCTTTACTGACTAGTATTTTATCCCCAAACATATATATATATATACATATTTTTGTAATAATATAATAATAAATAAAGAAAATTCTTGGGCTAGGTCGTATGTAGCAAATTGATTAAAAATAAAGTGTCCCATATAAATAAATAAAATAAAAAAAAAAAAAAAAATTAAAAGTCTTGAGTTAGGCCGTAGATTTCTGAAGTCTGCCTCCTAGAGGCTAAAGGATAAGTAGACTATTTTGCCACTTAAAGAAGGTTATTTATTATATTATGAGATACATACATAAGGTATGGTAAAGTGAAGAGAAGAAATGAGGTACTAGACTGAGTTATTTTAATTTGAAATAACATATTAATTATGACGTAATGCTTATTACGGAAATTTCTTACAAAAGCTAATCAATTTTAAAAGGTATTTTAAACCTCTATAGATTTATATGATCCCATTTTATTATCCCATTTGAGATATTTAAAGATATCACTACTCATCACTATCAGTAAATCAAAGTTTGGTTGGGTTTAGAAAGAGACAATTTATAAAATTATGCCCTCAAATACAAAAATATAGTGACATTTCAGACAAACCATAGCATATTATATAAAATTTCCATAATTTATGGAAGTATGCATGCTAATAGTACCAAAAGATCTCTCATACAAAAACAAATAAATTGCTTAAACAATAATGATATTTTATATCAAATTTATAAATGATTTGGTTCGTTTATGGATTATTTAAAGTCCCAAATACCAAATATTTGAAATATAAATTGTATTTAAATTCGGAGAAATCCAGTTTGGCTTATCTTAAGAGTTCAATCTGCATAAGCAAAGGCACTAGCGATAGGCAGCAGCTCAAGGCATCATTTTTCTTGTTTCAAACGTGAACACGTTATGATCACAGCGAGGCAGCCAATGGGGCGGGGTCTAAAACAAAGGCGGAGCAAACAGCGTAGAGCAGTGAGCGTAACAGGCGGGCGGCGCAGGGGCAGCTGAGTGATAGCAGCGGCGCAGCTGCGCTGCTCATGCAAATCATGTTGATCGTTAAAAATGGTGGCGCCCAAAACAGAAGCAAAACGGCGAAGAAGAAGAAGGCGAAGAAGCAACAACACCAAAATGTGAGAACTGGTTTTACGCATGGGTGCAGCAGCAGCCACAGCCAAAGAGAGAGCACAGCAACACAAGCAAACGAGAGTACAGCCGTTAGAAAGAGAGCGCAATTGAGCGCGCTTAAACAAAATGGCCGTCAAGCCAATGAGCAGCATTGCTCAATGCTCCCTTTCCCACACACACATACACACTAATTGACTCACACTCACCATCTCTACCGTTCTCTCTCTCTCTCTCTCTATCCCATTGTAGGCGCACGAGAAGACACACAAATCGCCGCGCTACGAATGCTCCGACTGTGGCAAAGGCTTCTCCCAGCTGCGCAACTATAAATATCACCTATCCGTGCATCGTGGCACCAAAGAGTTTGCAGCCGAGTGCCCGGAATGTGGGAAGACGTTCAACGACAAGGGCTACCTCAGCAGCCACATGAAAATCCATCGAAATCGCAAGGAATACGAATGCCCCTATTGCCCCAAATCGTTCAATCAACGTGTCGCCTTCAATATGCACGTCCGTATCCATACCGGCGTCAAGCCGCACAAGTGCGCCGAGTGCGGCAAACGATTCTCCCGCAAAATGCTGCTCAAGCAGCACATGCGCACCCATAGCGGCGAGAAGCCATATCAGTGCTCCGTCTGTGGCAAATCCTTTGCGGATCGCAGCAACATGACACTGCATCATCGCCTACACTCAGGCATCAAGCCCTTCAGCTGCCCGCTCTGCCCGAAGGCCTTCACCAAGAAACATCATCTGAAGACGCATCTCAACTACCATACAGGCTGCAAGCCCTACGTCTGTCCACATCCCAATTGCAATCAGGCCTTCACTCAGTCCAGCAATATGCGCACGCATGCCAAGAAATGCCAATACAGGCCGCTAGATGGCGCTCAGGCATTTCCGTTGCCCCCCAAGCAGCAGCAGCATCAACAGCCACAGCAGCAGCAACTCCAGCAGCATCTACAGCAGCAGCAGCAGCACACATTGTCTCTGGCCACAGCTCCCAGTTTTGTGATGCCACCAGCAACGTTTGCTGCCGCCGCATCCGCATTTCCGCCGGCACAGCAAACGCTGCTCAGCAATCTGCGCACATTCTAGCCAAGAAGCGGAAGTGAGAACTCCGAGTAGCAAGTGACTGAATGAGCTGAGTATGAACAAGCGCTTTAGGGCTTAGGTTTAATAATATATTTTCTAATGTTTCAATAATTGGCACATGCTTGAGTTTAAGTTATAAATTTTTGTTTTTCTATAAAAATTACTTTCCAAAATGTTCAGATTAACAAAAATATTCATAAATAGATAGCTTAATATAACAATTTATTCTGTTATCTTACTGTAAAAATCGAGCATTTTGCAGACTAGCCTAAAACTTTCCTTAAGTTTTGCAGATTTTTCTCGATTTGTTCGACTTGCTTTCTATTGATTTTGAAAACATATGTAAATTCAATTCAACCGTAGATAAATTAGAAAAATTTTAAAATGATAAAATGAGCCACGATTTCTAAATTAATTCTAATGAAGAAAGAATCGAGAAAAATACCAAGTTTTGTATATAGCTATAAAAGTTTAAATACAAAAAAAGAATTAATTTATAACAGAGTAAAATAGAACAAATATATACGTAAAATATCACAGTTACTTGTCACTGTCACAGTTCACTGCAATAATTTGTAAATATTTAGGTTAAGTTTGTAAAGTTAAGGTAGCCTTTGCATTTGCATGTGATTTAAGTTAAATCAGAGACGAGTTTTCAAGAAATAAAAGAAAATACATTTTTAAAAGAAAGCGGATAACTGAACGATAATTAGCAATGAATGACGAATTTGAGTTGAATCCAAATGATGAACGTCTGATCACGGATCTTCAACTAATACATTATCCGACCTACGGTCCGTTCTATGGCATAATGGGCGTGTCGGCGGCCATCGTCTTCTCTTCGGTTGGTGCCGCCTATGGCACAGCAGTGTCGGGCACGGCGATTGCTGCCACGGCTGTGATGCGACCCGAGCTAATCATGAAGTCGATCATACCCGTTGTCATGGCCGGCATTATAGCCATCTATGGACTGGTCGTAGCGGTGCTGATATCTGGCAAATTGGACTCGGCTGTCACCTATTCGGTGGCCAATGGCTATATACATCTGTCGGCTGGTTTATCTGTGGGCTTTTGTGGAGTGGCTTCTGGCTATGCCATCGGATGTGTGGGCGATGCCGCTGTACGTAATACGGCCCTGCAGCCGCGGTTATTTATTGGCATGGTCTTGATTTTAATCTTTGCTGAAGTCCTGGGCCTCTATGGCATGATTGTGGCCATATATTTGTATACCAAAGAAATTTAGTTGAGGCATTGTTTATGTTAAATTCTAACCAAATAAACTTTTTTTTTTATTGTATCTTCATAACAAAATGTACCTTTATTCCATTAATAATTTGCAGACATTTATTCAAATTACATATACCTTTAATATTTGTAGTACAAAAATCAAATGTGGCGCCAAAATTTTCGTGCCAGTTTTAGAGATGACACACCGATCGTTTACGAACGTTGCCTACTTTTTATTCGCTGTTAAAAGTCTCAGTCGTGCTGTCGGCAACATTGACTGTTAACAGCAATACGGTCGTCGTTAACAGGGCGCTCCACCAGCTAACAGTAAAGACTCGTAAAGTTAAGCAGAGCCGCTCCGCACTTAACAGTCACTTCGACGCATTTGTACCTGTAAAAAGGTAACAGTTCACGTCAGCAACATACACACGCACGCCTCATAGCTATCTGTCACATTTTCACACACACGCGCATGTCAGTGTGTCTTTAGTTGTTTTTTTTTTCCTTTTTCTAATTTCGAGTGAAGCATATTACAAAAATTCGTGTAAATGTTACAATTCCTTGTGAAATCATATATATGTAGATATAAATTTATATATTACTCACTAAAAACGTACACTTTGCGTTTGCTTGCAGGCGCAACAACAAGAAATACGCAACAATTCGGATTCACTTTTCGCCAGCGTGGGCAAAAGCGAAAAGCGAGGAGAGAAAAAAGAACACGCTGCCATGGCCGAGTATTGGCAGCAGCAGCAGCAGCAGCAGCCGCAGCAACAGCAGCAGCTGCCCCACCAGCAGCAACAACCACAACAGTTGTCCCAACAACAGCTAACAAATGGAGCTGGAGATTCAGCATGCTCGAACACAACCAATGGCCACTCTAATAATAATAATTATGTAAATTTTAATCAATTTATCAGTCAACACAATTTGGCCAGTTCCGTTTATAATGTTAGCGGTGGCGGCGGGGGTGCCTTTGGCCTAACTCCAAGCAGCAGCGCCAGCAGCGGCTCTAATGTGAGTAGAATTACTTGCCATTTACTGTTACTTTTATAAATTTAGCCCTTTTGTTCTATTTACAGTTATATGCGCCACACTTTTATGGCAGTCAAAATGGCGACAGTTACAATGCAGCTGGCGCAGCTGTTGCCTATCCTGTAGTCTATCCAAATCCGTATACATCCTTCGGCACCAATCCGTTTGCTTCTTCTGCTGCTGCCTCGACTGGCTACGATTTCAGCGCTTCCAAGCTTCAGGCAACAGCGCCCGAATTTGTGCCGAATTTTGCCAAGCTGAGTCTAACAGCGGCAACAACAGCGACAGCACCAATAACAGAGAGTGACTCTGTTAAAAGTCATAGCAACAACAACAACAACACTGCCACACAGCCAAATGGAGGAGCAGCAGCAACAGCGGCGTCGAGTGGGAATTCAGCTCAGCAGCCGCATCGAGCGGAGCCTAGACAATCGAAGAGTCAAGTCATCAGTAGCGGGGGTGGCGGCAGCGGCAACAATGGCCGCCAACAGCGACGCAACGAATATCGCGAGGAGCGCAATGAGGAGCGGTATGAGCGCGGCAAGAAACCGCAGAAACAACAACGCTACGATAATCATCGCAGTAATAAACGACGCGATGATTGGAATCGTAATCGCGATCGCATCAATGGCTATCCACGCGCTGCTGAGGAGCTGGACACCAGCAACAGCAATGACAGTGCGCAGGCTTCGCCCGAGAAGCAACAAAATCAGCAGCAGCAACAAATCTCGCCCAGGCGCGCACCGGAATTTGAGAAGCTGTCCCAGCGCGAGAAGCTCATGCGCGACATTGAGCAGCGCCGACTCGAGTGCCTCGTCTGCGTGGAGCTGATCAAGGCGCATCACGGCACCTGGTCGTGCCAGAACTGTTATCATGTGCTGCATCTGAAGTGCACCATCACCTGGGCGAGCAGCTCCAAGTCGAACGAGGGCTGGCGCTGTCCGGCCTGCCAGAATGTGCTGCAGGAGCTGCCGCGCGATTATCTCTGCTTCTGTGGCAAGCTCAAGAATCCGCCGTTGACGCGCAACGAGCTGGCCCACAGCTGCGGCGAGCTCTGCTGTCGCGTCGAGGGCTGCAGCCATGCGTGCACCCTGCTCTGTCATCCGGGTCCATGTCCGCCGTGCCAGGCGAACGTGACGCGCAGCTGCGGCTGCGGTCGCACCTCCAAGATAATGCAGTGCGCCATGAAGCAGCCGCTGCAGTGCGACGCCATTTGCGACAAGCTGCTCAACTGTGGCGAGCATCGCTGCCAGCAGACCTGCCATGCGGGCAAGTGCGAGGCGTGCGCGGAGCAGGTGCAGCAGAACTGCCATTGCGGCAAGCAGCAGCGTGAGGTGCTGTGCACCCGGGAGACGCAGGACAAGCGTAGCTACTCGTGCAAGGAGTGCTGCGGCAAGCCCCTGCCGTGCGGCAATCACAAGTGCAAGGATTCGTGTCATGCCGGCGCCTGTCGCCCCTGCAAGCTGAGTCCCACCCAAATCACCAGCTGTCCCTGCGGCAAGCTGCCCGTGCCGGCGACACAGCGCAGCAGCTGCCTCGACCCGGTGCCCACGTGCGAGGGCACGTGCAACAAGACGCTGCGCTGCGGCAAGCCAGCGCATCCCCATCAGTGCGCCAGCAAGTGCCACCTGGGCCAGTGTCCGCCCTGCCCGAAGCAGACGGCTGTGAAGTGCCGCTGCGGCCACATGGATCAGATGATCAAGTGCCGGCAGCTGTCGACGCGAGCGGACGATGCGCGCTGCAAGCGACGCTGCACCAAGAAGCGCAGCTGCGGCAAGCACAAATGCAACGCCGAGTGCTGCATCGACATCGATCACGCCTGTCCATTGCCCTGCAATCGAACGCTGACCTGCGGCCGGCACAAATGCGACCAGCCCTGCCATCGTGGCAATTGTCCCCCCTGCTACCGCAGCAGCTTCGAGGAGCTCTACTGCGAATGCGGCGCCGAGGTCATCTATCCGCCGGTGCCCTGCGGCACCAAGAAACCCGTCTGCAAGCGCCCCTGCTCGCGCACCCACGGCTGCGAGCATCCGCCGCAGCACAATTGCCATGCGGCGGCCACCTGCCCGCCTTGCATGATGTTCACCACGAAGTGGTGTCATGGACAGCATGAGCAGCGCAAGACCATACCCTGCTCCCAGGCCAGTTTCAGCTGTGGCCTAGCGTGTGGCAAGCCGTTGTCATGCGGCCGACACAAGTGCATCCGGCCCTGCCACGATGGCGAGTGCCAGCAGGCGGGCGAGCAGTGCCGCCAGAGCTGCACCAAACCGCGCCTGCTCTGTGGCCACAAATGTGCCGCCGTCTGCCATGAGGGCGACTGCCCGGAGACGCCCTGCAAGGAGCTGGTCGAGGTGCAGTGCGAGTGCGGCAATCGTAAGCAGAATCGCAGCTGCCAGGAGCTGGCGCGCGAGCATAGTCGCATTGCCACCGCCCAGCTGGCGTCCTCCATGGCGGAGATGTCGCGCGGCAACTACATGGAGCTGAGTGAAATTCTGGCGCCCAACAAAAATAACAAGTCCAACAAAACGTGAGTGGAATAAATAATTAAATATAATATAATAATAAGTAAATATTTCCCTTCTGCTCCGACAGCTTGGACTGCAATGAGGAGTGTCGCCTGCTGGAGCGCAATCGTCGCTTGGCCATTGGCCTGCAGTCGCGCAATCCGGACGCACAGCTGAAGCCGCTGACCAAGTACTCAGAATTCTTGCGTGGCTTTGCCAAGCGCAATCCGGCGCTAACTAAGAGCGTCTATGAAACGCTCACTGATCTGGTGAAGCTGGCCAAGGAGAGCAAACAGAAGTCGCGAAGCCACTCCTTTCCCACCATGAATCGTGAGAAGCGCCAGCTGGTGCATGAGCTGTGCGAGGTCTTTGGCGTGGAGTCCGTCTCCTATGACAAGGAGCCCAATCGCAATGTCGTTGCCACGGCGCACAAGGAACGCGTGAGTGCCATGCAATTAAATTAACAATTCTATATATATTTTAATTATTATTGATTAATCTACCTAATGTAGTGCTGGCTGCCGGCTACGAGCATCATGGAGGTGCTGGCACGTGAATCGGGGCAACGTCGCATCCCAGTGCCCAGCAACAATGCTTGGGGCCTGAAGAAGTAACATTCGTTTAATGTTGAGGACAATACAGAACTACAACAACAACAACAACAGAAAGAGAGACACAGTTTGTAGAGTAGCTTAGGATGATGGGGAGAGAAAAAGAGGGGAAATAGCGATCTCGACTCTTTCTCTATGCCGGAACAAAACTGAATATAACTTCTTAAATGTTAGCTAAAAAAAAAAAAAAAAATCTAATTGTTGGGAAATGAAAAAGAGAAAACGAAAAGGATTACCGTGCCGGATATACCAAAAGAACATTATGGAAACAGAACAATACTTAATGCAAATGGATACTGTTAAACGACTTTGAACTGTTGTACGATGAATTTATGTAAAGCTGAATCCTACGACCACGTTGCGTATACAGAATAATAAACAGAATATGAAAACAAATCATAAGCAAAAACAAAAGCAAAAAAAAAAAGAAAAAGCAGTGTAATCAAAAGGATAAATTGAGCCAGCGACTGAATACCTTGTGGCCTGCCAAGGATTTCGACTGCATGGGCTTTGAGTAGTGCGTACAGAGTTCTATTACTATTCTACTAATGATAAATAAAATGTGTCGTCTTTGTTTAACATTTTCAAAAATACGCGCTTAATGATTGTAATTAATAAAGAAATACTAAAACGAACAGCGTTGCTTAAGTTTAACCGGAGACATTTTTCTTTGACTATGCAACACTGTTTTTGTTGTGTGTCCTAGCTGGTTGCGGTCTGTGCTTAATAGGTTCCATATCCTGTAGAGTTTTATGAGAATGTTTAGGGTATTTTAGTTGTTAAAAATCTGCTCAGAATCACAATTGACTTTAATATAATATTTTAGATTTCCACTTGATTATGCAGATACAAGTTATCTAATTTTTTTTTAAATAATCATGAAACATTCATTTTGCTCAATAAACCTATGTGTATTGAAGACACACACCAATTCGAAATGGCCTAGGGCACTGTCGTTTGTATTTGTATCAGGTTGTTGTCAACGCTAAACGAATTCCACTTAGTGATGCTAGGTTTGAAAACTAAATGAAATACAATTTTATGGATTCATACATAAGAAAAATCGAATAGTTTATTAAAAGGTAAAGAAATATAATTATTAAAAATATAATTATAAAAAAAAAGCGTGCAGCGTGTCAAACCTGATTGGTTTGAAAATTAATAAAACCTAAAATGAATAAATAGAACAATATTAATATGAAATATCTTTGATT